CCCAGTCTCTGTGACTAAAGGTGTGCACCACTGCAACTGGCTTCATTTAACACTTTTGATCATTAAATTCCACATTACTAAGTGAGGAAAGAAAGAGATTTCAACCTCTCTCTTGTATTGGTATCATGGTGGTGTATGGGACTTTGTGTAAGCCTGAATCTAACCACTTACAAGTTGTCTGAACTTGGAAAAGTTATTTAATATCTTTCTAATTGTGGATGCTCAAAATGATAAAAAAAAAAAATCTTTCCTATGATTGTTGTGAGACTTTAAAAATCCCTCACGCAATAACTATTTCTTGCTCACAGGATGCATCTATTTCTTGCATAATAGTGGAATGGAATATTGGTATCAAGTTGTAAAGATTAGGACCACATAATTCTGTTCTTCAAAATACTCTTCCTTGGGGAACAGAATGCTAAATACACATCCTCACCTGTCTTTTGTTTTTCCCTCCCATTCTTCAAATTCAAAATGATGTGATTATGTAAGGCCACAGAATGTACTTTAAAACAATGTAGTGTGTTTTCAAGGCTGCCATGTGGAAACATTATCCTGATTCAAATGAATGGCTCTAATAATATCAATTAACAAATTAGCAGGTAATAAAGAATACCCATTTGAACAGGCAGTCACTTTGTTGTCCTTCAGATTAAATGTATTTTCCTTCATATTCACTCACAGGAAACATTTTTATAAGAGTACATATTAAGGAATTAGTCAAATTTAAGATTAATTGAGAAAAGTTGAATGAGAAAATTCCAATGTCATAGTTTAATCAGAGAAATGATTTTACCCCGAGAATTTTGAATGTGGTGACACAGTTATTTTTTATTACCTTTAAATTTATCATTAGGCATAACAGGAAATGTATGCCCAATTCACCTGGCAATAGGCACTGCAATATTTTTAATAGCATTTTATAGAAATGTCATATCCAATTAGCAACTTCATCATGCCACCTCAACAATTAGTGAACTAATCCAGGATGTGCCAATAAAAATCACATCAGGTAATAGTTTCCTCAGCCATTTATAAGTTATTAATATGCTGTCAAGTTTAGAACTCAGGCTGAATTCAAAGCAGAGTCCACACTCTTCAGATTTGCTTAGTGGCATTGTCAATCAGTGGCACTGGGTGAAAGGTGATATTTTCTTATTCTCTTTTATCTAACTCATAATCTCTCCCCTTCTCTATGTGTCTCCATTGTCCTTCTTACATGACTAGAATCATGAGCTTGGTTAACACTGAACTGTATCTTCTAATAAATTCTGTTTCTGCTTATTTCTTCTGTCCAGTCAGGAGATGATGGATCAGGGTAAACTTTCAAACATAGAATACGCCATTAACATTTTTTTTTAATGCTGGTATTTCCTCATAGACATTCTAAATACATAGGTAAATTATAAAACTGTATTCTTCAGAAGTACTGAAATTACATTATTCATGTTTTTAATATATTAAAGCTGTATTTGTGTTATGCTATCTTTTTTCTTTCTTTTTCCTTTTGAACTCTGCTAAATTGCACAGATAATCCTTAGTTGTCACTTATCATAAGTTTAAATATGGAAATTTAGACAGGACATTTGTATAGTTGACATTCTCCAGATATAGATAGAGCCATTAGCTAACCAACTAGTATTTAGTAACCAACCAGTGCAGTGTTGAAAACCAATTGCTTTTGGAGCCCAAACTGTAAAATGCCTCCTGAGATCTTTTAGTTAAGCGAAGACAGTCTTTAATGAGAGGAGTTGAAGATCAGGGAGGATGTAGTGACAGGGTGAAACTCACACAGCCTCAGAATAGCCATCATTTGTTTCAGAGAGAGACAGAGATACCAAGGAGATAAGACCCAAATAAGGGAATCATTCTAGATAGTTACATATAGAAAAACTTTTGAGTGTAGCTCAAAGTGGTACAGGTTAAGCACACTAATCTGAAAATTCAAAATATGAAATGCTCCAAAATATAAAACTACTTCACTGCCAAAATGATATCACCAGTGAAAATTCCACACCTCACCTCAAGTGAAATGTGATAGTCAAAATACAGGTTCATTAAAAGTACTGTATGATGTTGGGGTTACCAGCACCATGAGAGCTAATTCCTGCTTGGAGGTGTTAACCAGCTGGCAAAATAAAAATTCTGAAAATAATCAGTAAAGAACAGAAGACAATAGGAAGAACCATAGTTTTCAAAGCTGGGATGCAGCAGGTTTTCCAGCCCTGTTAGGAACTGGAACTGAACAAGGAAAAAAGCCCAAATCCTTTATTTAAGGGGAAATATATCAAAAGGTTTCAGTATGGCAAGCTTCTTGAGGAAAACAGGATAAAGATGGGAAAAGCAACTTGTTTGGAGCTAGGGAGGTTATGCTCATATCTAGGGGCTGTGTTTGAACCTAGGGTTGTGAGCTAAGGTAGGGTGTCAGCTTTAATCTGAGCAATCTACATCCGAGGGTGGATTCACAACAGGAGTTCTCAGAAAAGCCAACACCCTGCCTTGTGATGGCTCCAACAAACCCATAATTAATACACAGCCTCTGATAGTATGAAATTACCTTCAGGCTATGTGTATAAGATGTATGAATTCTGTGTTTATGTCCATTTTCGAGATATCTCATTTTAAATATTCAAATATACCGGATCTGAAAAAATACAAAATCTGAAACACTTCTGCCCCCAAACATGTTGGATAAGGGGTATTCTACCTGCATAAACTGAAGTATTATATTGTTTGGTGCAAGAATTATAATGCCAAACAAACTTCAAGCCTGATCTAAAAATACTCCTGAACTTTCACTTATGAGTACATTCTGCAAGATAGACATACTCACTAATGACCATTTTAGAGTCACAGAAGAAGATTATCTCCAAAGAGAAGAGTCAAGGGCAACATAAATAATTTTCTTTGTGACCAGAGCAAAATGTCTGCAAAGTCGATCTTGTAGGGATTTCAACATTGCTACAGAATCTCCATCTTTCTCTTCCAAATGACTTTTAGTTCATTTTGCAGATATCCATACTGGCTTCTTGGGGGCCATGTCACTTGTATTTTGTTTATTGATTATTAGATTAAAATGTTCTGCCCCCCAAAAAGGATTTTATGCCACTCACAAAACCCTCATGGACTTGGACCTGGTTGGGGTGTAGCATATAAGGAGGCTTGAGAAACAAGCCATGCAGGAATTTGTAGATGACTTCAATGAGCTTCATCCCTAAATATGAGGCAGTGAACAACCATGTAGAGGTCTTAGCTTACATGAGATTAGATCTAAAGCATGTATTGAGAATGCTTTCCTAGCACCAGTGTGTTGAATGGATTGGAAATGGATCACAGTTAATAAGAGACAATAAATTTAGTTTTAAAGCAATCATGGTGAGAGATGGTGATAGCTCATACTGGCTTGTGGCAAAGGAGATTTAAGAGAGTAGATCAATAGAGAAATTTAAAAAGTAAAGTCAATTGATACTTTGGAAATAGGTGAGAGAGAAAAAGGTAAGGGAGTCTTTTGAAATTTTGACCTAAAAATTTAGTTGGAAGGCATTTAATTTGATGAGAAAACCGCTAGAGAACAATTGGTAGGGGGTGATAGCTTGAAATTGAGCCATGTGGATATCATATGTTTGAAGTCACTTGAACATCTAATATTTTGAATTCAGAAGAGATGCCATCCTGGACAATTCATTTAGAAATAATGTGTATGTAAGTAATGATTGGGGTTCTGGGATTAAACTAGATAGCCTGGAAAGAGACTTTAGAATGAATACAGAAGAAAACCTAGATAAATTGAGCAGGTAGCTCCATGAAATAATTATACCCCATGCCAGTTCAAAAGCACTTAGATTGTTCAAATTGAATTTCATGCATGTACTATATTACACAGCTCTGAAAGGAGTATGATGCAGTGCTAAGAATTTTAACTCTTGAGACAAAAATATTACTTTGTCACTTAGTAACTGTTTATCTTGGGCAATTATCTAACAGTTTTGGATTCAATGGTCCCATGGGGAAAAGGTGCATAAGCTTGAATTGAAGATTACTACAGAGAATTTTTTTTTTTTTTATTAAGTTTAAACTTTTTTCCGTTTTTTTTTCCTTGAGGATTTACTTCCCTTTTTTTCACCCTTTTGTTTTTGTTATTTGGGGGCCAAAATTTAAATTTTTACTTTTTAATTTTTTTTTTAAATTTTCTTTTAGTTGGGTTTTCGTTAAACCTTTTGCTTGGCTTGCCCAGGCCCCCAGGTTTGATCACCAGCACAGGGGAAAAAAATTAAATTGAATTAAAAATAAATGTAGTCATTAATGCAAACCTGAATAACTGCAAATCTTTTAAAATAGTATTCCACATTCATGATCCATAATTACCAAAGATGCTTTACAGTATATAGATGCCTCAAAAAATTAGAAATGTTACCACCATTTGACCCTGGTATCACACTCCTCGGCATATATCCAAAGAAGTTAAAATCAGCATACTACACTGATGCAGTCACATTGATGTTTATAGCAGCATAATTCACAATAGCTAAGCTATGGAACCAACTTAGGTGCCCAACAACATATTATTAGACCAATAAAATGTGGTTTATATACACAATGGAATATTATTTGTCCACAAAGAAGAATCACTTTATGAAATTTGTGAGTAAACAGATGGATTTCGAGACTCTCGTGATAAGTAAAATAAGTCAATCTCAAAAAACCAAAGGTTGAAAGTTCTTTCTGATATGTGGATGCTAACTCACAACAAGAATGATGGGGAATAGAAAATTCAGTGGATTAGACAAAGGAGACTGAAGAGGTAAGAAGGAATGGGAAAGACAGTAGAATGAATCTGACACCACTTTCTGTGTTCATATATAAATACACCACAGTAAATTTCAAAGACTGGGATCCTAATTAGAATAAAATGTATTTCATGTTTGCATAAATATGTGAAAATATAATCTTTTGTTATGTATAACTAGAGAGAACAATTTTTTAAAAGGATGCTTTAAATTTTCAATGAAGAAAAGTTTGTTGTTTTTATAAGGGTGAGGAGAAATTTTTTTTTTTTAAATCTCATGACTTTGTTGTTGCACATTGCACGACTATAATATCAAACTGACTTTTTCTTCAGGAATTATTAATATCATTATCCTGTTACATTATCTCCATGATAAGAGAAAAGTAGCTCTCTTGGCCACATGTACTCTGAATTCTTTCATAAATGTGTCTTCTGTTACTTATACTTTTTCTCATCCTCTTTTTCTCCCCTTCTGGAAGGGTGATTAAATTCTTGACTGGGAAGGGACTTCAAGATACTAAATACTCATAAAAAGAGAATGTTTTTGCTTCCTTTGAATATCTTCATTCCATTGCCATGTTAGAAAATAAACTCTCTGACCATGAAAAATCTCTTTCATTTTATTACAAAGTTTTATTCTCTAAAGATATCTTCTATTCTACAAAGTCCACTACATCAGTTGATAGCTAATAAAGGAACCGATTAAAAAGAGGAAAACCACTTAAAAGCACAGTACACTAGGTGTTTGGTCACTTTATTTTCCATTAAATATTTATGCCCTGTCCACATAAATTCTAATATATGAAAATTATTTCTGCAGAATTTCCCAAGGTGGCCTCTGGGATGGAGGTGAGGAAGAATGCCCATAAGAAATTGCAGTGCAGTCTCTCCATCAACCAGGAGCTATACACTGAAAATTAGCAACTGCTACATTACCATCAGTGTGGGGGCTGATAAGGAGGAAAGCCACTAAGGGCAAAACTTCAGAGATCCTATGAAATCAAAAGGTACTGATTAGTTTTATCAAACAACCATCACACAGTAATCACATAAACAACCTGAGGAAAAAGATGTGAGGACATTAGTGTTAATCTGTTCACAAAGATTTACTGGATTGTGAAAAAAAGTAACTTCAAGTATGTCTGTGTGCTTAACTCAGAATCATGTCATATCTCCTTGTCTTTAAATGGCTAAAGATTTTCCATTTTTTTCTTGTACTCATGAATTACATGTTTTGCCAACCCAAAGAAAACAGTTATTTTTTTATGAAAATTATATTGTCAAGTATAGTCACTAAATGATGGGTATTTAGAAATCTTTGGGCTGTTAAATGTCCATTTTCTGTTGCTAAAATACCTGTAGCTAGTTACTCATAAAGGAAAGAGGTTTATTTACCTTATAGGTTTTTGGAGGCTCAAAGTCCAAGATTGGTCTCTGGTGAAGACTGCTTCACAACCTGGTGGATGGCATCATGGTGGGAATGCATGTGACAAGAGATCTCATGGTAACACAGGAGGCTGGAAAGAGGTACAGGTGTGTCTTCTTTTTATGATACCCTACCAGAGTTCCCTGAAAAATTATATTAATCTCTTCTTAGGGCAGTGCCCCCAATGACCTTGCACTAAGCCTGATGTGGTAAGGGTTCCACCACTTCTCACATCACCTCTCCAGAGTCTGAGCTTCTGGTATTTGAACCTTTGGCAAACAAATCACACACAACAGCACCAAGTAACACACTGTATATATGTTAATAGGCACCTGTGGTCTCAAACATTTTTCTCAGCTATTTTTCCTCAAAAATTATTTACCAAAATAGGGAATATTCAACTTATCTGATATGTTCTTATAGAAAAAGAAGTCAAACAGAATAATTCTAGTTTTTACCTGGTCTTAATAAAGGTATTTTATGGTTTTATTCAATTTGGACTTGCTTACTTTTGTCTTACCAATTTTAATATGGCGATTGGAAAGCTTTAGTTTTACTACATCTTTTAGATTTTTACCTTTCAATGATCCTTTTTATTTATTTATTTTTATTTTCCTCCTTTCAAATTTAAATTTTTAAAAATCCATTTGGTTGTCTTATTTAGGTCACCATGACTTATTTACTTTTTTTTTTTTTTTAAATTTAACGTCAACCTGCTTTTATAGCTGGTGAAGAGCAGTTAGATCATGGACTCCTACCTTTTCTTCTTGGTAACACCATTGCTATGAAGGAGAACATTTTTTACTTATGAGACCAAAGCCAGCCTTTCTCTTCTTTGTTTTTGATTCCCTGCTCCATCTCACCACAGGAGACTCTTCCAGTGTGCATCAAGGCTGGCTGAACCCAGCTGGCTGTACTGAGCTTTCAGAGTGACTTGGACACTGGGGACAATCTGGCTCATTTACCAGCATCTGATTTTTTGGCCCAAAGAACAAAATCTCATAAACAGCATTTACAAAGGCTCAGTTTTCCAGGGTATCAAGCTTTGTGGCAACCTTCTTCTTGGAAAAGACACAGTGTTTTCGCCTTAGTCCAGCTCATCATTACGTTGACAACACTTCCTTTTGTAAGGACTGACTGGAATTTAACTGAAAAATAAGAGCAAAAGGGAAAAAGAAAAATTCTAAATAATCCAAATAGGGTTGGAGAAAAAAACTAAATAGCAAATCTCTCTAACAAATTCAACAATACCTAACTTCTGAATCCAATTTTCTAAAATAAACACTTAAGAATCTATGAGTGCTTAATCAATTGAATTCCAGTCCCATTGAAGTCATTAATATATAATAACCACTCAACCTATCCACTGCTTTAAACTTTAACTTCAGATTGCCAGGGGGTTTTGTGTGGGCACAAAGTTATTGTAGCTTAAATACCAATAAACTAGCATGAAACAAAGAAATTTCAGATCATGTTGCTCTAAAAAAAATGATGTTTCTTGATTCCTTATTAAAGGGGAAAAGAATAGAGGAAATGGTCTTAATAAAGGAGCATAGTGGTTATATAAAAAATTTTCTATAGTAATTTTCATTTACAAGCTCCATGGTGTACACAGCAAGGCAGAAATCAAGAGCACAATAACCCATTACTGAACCATGGCCATGGCAGAGTCAAGAGGCAAAGCTAGGTTTAGGCAGCAAGCGTCAGAAGACAGAAAGTCCAGTGGGTAAGAGGGCAAGTGTATAGTTTAAGATAACTAACTGAATCAGGAGTCAGAAAGGTAAAAGAAGTGGCTGGAGGCAAGTTCTGCAAGTACTATAGGTTTTGACATTGCAGTGTATTAAAGCTGCCATCTAAACACTGTGCTTTTGAAATAAAGACAAGGAATTGAGAGTTGGAGGTTAAGTAAAGCATTCTCTTGAATTAATTATTCACCATGTTAATTCCTATGCCTGAGTGCCTATATGTATATACTACTGGATAATGCTTGATATTGTTGCACATTTATCATTTTTTCTATATTCTGCCAATAGAATAAGAGTGGTATCCTTATCTGTCATGTTCATGACTATACCCATAGCTTATGGCATAAGATCAGCATATATCAGTTGCTTTATAAATATTTGGTGAATTTGCTCAATTGCTATCTTTTTCTGTTGGATTTTTGCTCAACTATAAACTATACATTATGTATCCAAAGATATTTTTCATACAGTTATAATCTCTGTTTTATTACATACGAAAAGTGAACATCTTTACTGTACTTTAACACTGCTCAGCAGCAACAGCTTTTACTGCCAAATACCATCTCTTTATTGGAAAGACATCCAAATTTTTAAGAGCTTTTACAGATTAAAAGTGACATATGGGGTGATTTCATTAAAGTGGGAGGAAATGCAAATTTACAACATTGTCTCTTTTTTTAAAAAATAAGCTAGCAATATTTTGAAAAGCATCCCTATTATAAAATACCATTAATGCAGTACAAATATAATACAATACTCTAAATACAACATTTCTTAGTTTGCAATACTGTTTCTAAGATCTAGATAAATCCTAAAAACCAGTGTCTTTAGTCTATATAATCTTTATAATCTCTAGAGGATATACATATAGGCAATTCTTTTAATACAATGAGCAAATAATAAACATTGAAAATCTAGGAAAACATTTGCCTGCATTTTGATTACATATGAACCTACTGTTAAGTGAAGGACTTCCTATATGGGTATCCTGTGGTAGTAGAATGCTGCCAACTGCTCCTAGATCCCAAACCTGATACAGTAGAAACAAACCTCGTTCAATTGTGTGTTGTCAAGGAGTTAGATTACATGATGCACAACATGGCAAAGGATTCTGTGCCTCTTCAACAAAGCTTAATGTATCAGTTCACTTATTGGGGCAGAGCATAGGTGGTCTCCATTGACAGGTCTATTATTTAACTGAGGAAATTTGGGTAGAACTCAACTGTTCCCCATAAAACACCCAGGATTTACTTGTGGCTTTGCTGTGGTTTTAATACAGCTTGAATATGTCACCCAGGGGTTCATGTGTTAGAAGCCTGATCCTCAGTGCATGATGAAGGGAAGTAATGGAATCTTTAAGAGGTGGGACCTATTGGGAGGTAACTGGGGTGCTGTCCTAGGGAGGAATTAATGTAGTTTCGTGAACCCAGTTAGTTCTCATGAGAGTGCTGCTAAAAAAAAAAGCCAGAATGACTTCTGCCTGCTTTTTCACTTCCTGTCTTGCCATATGATCTATTCCTCTTCTGTGCACTCCCACCATTGATATAACACAGCCAAAGGAGTCCTCACCAGAGGCATAATCAAGAGAGCTACCTGGTCTTGGACTTTTAGTCTTTAAAATTATGATCTAAATCAAACATTTTTTTAAATAAATAAGTGTTAGTCCTCAAGTACTTTGTTATGTCAATGGAAAACAGATTATTATGGAGTTTTAAGAGGTTAATAAGTAGCTTCATGATTTTCTAAACAATACAGAAATCATGAAGTGAGAAAGGGAGAAGTCACCCAAATCAAGATCCAGATGCCTGCATAATAGCAATTAGGATTACTTGAGAAGCTAAGCTTAGATTTATGGCAACAGTGGAGTTCTTAATATTGTACTTCAGAATCATATGTACCCATCTTGTCATAGGCCATGCTGAAAACCTCCAGGTCTTGCCTAAAGGGGCTTTGCCTCCAAAGCTTACAACAGGAAAAAACAATGAAAACACTATAGGAAGGAGCAACAAGAAAGAATTGCTTTTCTAAAATTCACCAGTCCCAAATTCTTTATCTAATAGTGAGGACCAAAAGGGAATGGGGAAGAGGTAAGAATTATCCTAGAAAGTCCTTCCTCGTGGGAATCTAAGGGTTGATGCTAAGTGTTACCTTTCCAAGCCATTATTCCTTCAATCTCCCTTGCTAGATTTCTTTTCTGATGGATATAGTTAGATATCAATTTAGAGAAATTCTTGCTTCTTTATTTCTCCTTTATTCTTACTTCTATTTACATCTCTCTCATTTTATGTTTTGTTACTCATACAATATAATTTTTAAATAGCAATATTTAAAAATGGTTTTTTTATGGAAATACATTAAGACACTTAAGAGAATAAGAAATTCATATAATTAATGCTATGATTGAAATAGAATTAGGAAAAAACAAAATCACCTATAGTGTAGTGAAAGATAAGGGGTTTTATTGCCTATTAATGTGGACTGAATTGTCATAGAGAGCAGAAATATATGAAGAGCCACAGAAAGGTTACTGGGAAAGCAAAGCTGAGCAAAAATTAAGAGAAAGTTCTTGCCCTAACCACCTGTCTTAGTATAATAGCCAAAAATGTTAAAAATATATGATCAAAGGTAATGAAGGTTTTTTTCATGCTAATTATGATAGAATATTATAGAAAATGTAATGCTTTATTATTAAAGCAGTATATCCGTAATTAGAGTAAAACTTCAAACATGGGAAGGTTGTAGCTTTGCAACCCTTTATTAGCAAAGATTGCAAATAATAAAAAAATAATTTAAGTAGTCTGAAGACATCAACAAATTCTTAAAAACTAGCCTATTTCAAAATAGCACCTCAGCACCTACATGTTTCTTACAAAGTTTGAGTAACGAAAATTTATCCTTTTAGTCCACAGTTTGTATAAAGAATAAATTTGATTAGAGACCATATAACATGCATGCCTTTGAGGACTCAGTTATTAGAGGACAAAGTCTATGGTATTCCAGCTATGTTATATCTTAGTATAAGTGTTGTGTCCTGAAAGGACTTTCCAAGATTCTTCACTCCAGTTGGGAAATACCAAGAGTAATCCCTAGTGTTTGGTATGAGCATAAATATCTAAACTCATTTTTATACCAAAAGTATAAAGTACAGACAAATAAAGCTAGTCAGCATCAAATAAGCTGTGTGGTAGCTTAGGCTGGTGATAACTAAGGAGTAAGGATAGTAGAGGACAAGAGCAGCCAGAGGTCTGAACCACAAGTCTCTGTGATGGAGCTTATGCAATTTTAGTTCTCATAGAATAGGGGAAGGCTAAAGTATAGAAGAAGGAAGTTAGCATGGAAAGGAAGAAACAAGTCAAAGTAAGCATATGTCGATAGTCATAAAACTCTAGGGCCATCCAAAGAGGTTCATTCTAGATCTACATGTTTTTGCTTTGAACATTTTAATACATTCTGTCTGACATGGGAGCTCATGACTCATAAGTAACTATAGGAAGTAGTTTTAGTCATAGGAAAAGTTAGAAATCCTACAGAAATTGAGTCCTTGCCTTCAAACAGACAACACACAGTTCACTTGCAGCCTATAGCTTCATATTTGTTTTAAGTTTTATTTTTAGTGCATTGTAGTTGCACATAATAATGGGGTTATTTTGAAATATTAATAAATGCATATAACATAGTCTACTTCATTTCAATCTCTAGTATGTTTCTCTTGCCTTCACCCTGGTCTGCTTGATCCCCTTCCTCTATTCTATTGATCTTTCTTTTGTTTATTTATTTTAATTGGTATAGTTATATATAAATTTGGAATGCATTATGAAATATCTTTGCATGCACAGAGCATAATTTTTTCAACTTTATTCCTCAGTTTTTTTTCCTTTGCCTACCCTTCTCCCTGCTTCTACTCTACCATTCTGCCTTCTCTGTATCATGATATCTCTGTATCATGAGTTACTAGATCTTCAGTATTGAGTTTTTTGACTTCTGTATATTTCATATGATTCCTTTTTTTCAATTCCTTTTTTATCTCTCTTTAACTTCTACATATGAGAGAAAACATGAGACCCCTGACTTTCTGAGTCTGGCTTATTTCACTTAGCATAATGTCCTCTATTTCTAACCATTTACTAATAAATGCCATACCTTTATTCTTCCTTGTGTCTGAGTAAAATTCCATTGTGTGTGTGTGTATGTGTGTGGTGTGGTGTGTGTGTGTGTGTGTGTGTGTGTGTGTGTGTGTCGTTTTCTTTATCCACTCATCTATTGAAGGGCACCTATGCTGATTCTATAGCTTGGCTATTCTGGATTGTGCTGCTATAAATATTTGGATGCATATATAGTATGCTGATTTTAGAGCTTTAGAATAAATACCAAGAAATGGGATAAGTTGGTCATATGATAGTTCC